CTAACGAGGCACCTCATTTCTTGGTTGGTTACTTCAGGCTTGCAGATACGTGGAGTTATTTCACAAAAAAGAGTTGATGCGGTCGCAGCTCCTTTCTGACAATTTAATCAAACTCAACTTGAGAGCATAATTGGTCACAAGATTGGGCGTTGACAGCATAAATTGCAAATTCATTGATAAATTGCATAAGCAGATGCATTCGGTTTAGCTATGGTATCTTGATTAGCCCTTTTTATTACGTAATAGATACATGGTTTAAGTGGAGGTCCGATTGACTAGAGGCACTCATAACTCCAAAGTTATTGGTTAGGCCCACTACGACTACTTTACTGTTTTAGCAACATGGCAAAGGTAGATAGGAAAAGATTCCTTAAAGTATCGAATAGATAAGATGGAGTTAGAACGGAAAATGAGTGCGAGTAAGCAAAGAAGATAATGAATCGGATTATTATTATTATTATTATTATATAGAATATATACTATTATATAAACTTTTATATCCCATTATTATTCTTAGCAATATATATATATATTTACTTATATATATAAATAGTTAGCAAAAAAGATAATAAGTAGGATAAGAATAATATTAAATATATTATATATGTATTTATATATATATGTATATTATACAGTATATTATAAATGTTTATGTTATATCTTATTGTATTGTTAGTATCATTCATTTTTATATATATCCACACATATATTTAATGGCAGTTTAGATATAAATAGTGAGCAAAGAAGATGATAATTCGGATAGCAATAAAGTAGAGGGTAATAAATATGTGTATTTATTTCTCCACAATATTATATATATATATACATATATATATATCTCTCCACTTAAACCTATAGATGAGCCATAAATAATGTATAACTTCATTCCTCTTATTTAGGAAGTTGATGGTCTGATTTATTTATTCAGACTTCTTGATCTTTTGGCCGAATTTGAGGTTCCTGTGGCCTGCAAAACGCGGTGTTTTAGATCCTTCGATAACTTCTCCTGTAACATCCACGTGTCCAGCCAGTTCAGTTTTTCGGAAGTTTGCATATATGGTCCGGAATATCGTCTAGACCCTCACCCATAAGCATAAAGCCCTGTAATACTTTTGTCTCAAAAGTGGACCCGAAAATTCTCGGAACCAAGACATAACTAAGTATGGTATTAGTTTCTCTGTATACATTGTTCTGATTGGTCTAAATGTTAAACAATATGTTCAGCTAATGTGAAATGACAAATTGCCTGTCAATCTGGCCAGGTAAAAGAAGACCGATGTCAAAATAGCTCGTGTAAAATTCATTAAGTTACACACTATTTTCAGCATGTGCAGAAGGAATAAGAGGTGATAATTTGCAGACTTTGGTTGGGGCGCTGAATTTAGCAAAACAACATCAAAGTAACGAGAGAGAGAGAGAGAGAGAGAGAGAGAAGAAGGCAGAGGCGTCGTTTAGGGAGTGGTTGGTCAACTTTCGGTCAATCCAAACGGTCTGTCACTCGCCAAGTCCTTTACCGAAGAAGTACAGGTTACTTTCTTGTCGTGAGTAATACAGATTTGTACATTTACTCCAAATGGAGGCCATTGGGTCTCACGAATTCGTGCAATATCTGCACGATTGGACAAGTTAAAAAGGCTTCCTGCCGCCCCAAACTGTTGTCGAAGTTGCCTTAGTTGCTCGAGAGGCAAGGGGTGTAGGCCCACAGAAGTGGTTGTCGGAGAAGAGGACGATCGGCCGAGTGTCTCGAAGCCAAATCCGCATAGTCGACCTGACTAGAACTGCCAATCTCGGAGGCACTTGGTCGAGTTGTTCGGCTCTGCTGTTGCCAGTGTTGTGTCAAAGTGGGCCAACCCTAAGACAAGTAGATTGGTACGAATGGGTGATTACCAAAAAAAACACGTCTATTCTGCTTCTTTCTTTCATACCCGGTGTGACTTGTGCCTGTGCCTGTGAATCTGCTGTTGTGCGTTGATGCATTTGTCTGTGTACACGGGAATGTGTATGCTTGTGTGCTTGTGATGGTGTGACCGTGAACAGACTACTACCAGTGGGTGCCGTTCGTGCTGGGTCTGCAATGCATTTTCTTCTACATCCCACACATTGCCTGGCAGGCGATATGTGCCCAACGGGCTGGGGGTGATTTGTTCGCTCTGGTCAAATCGGCCGCGGATGCTGCCACTAATCAGCGCGGGGCTCGCCAAAACGAGGTGAATCGAGTGGCCGAGTTCCTCGAGGACATGATCGAAGGTCACCGCTTCTGCAGAAAGGTGAGCATCTCGAGCAACCTTTTTGCACATGTCCACTTACCCCCGTTGGAGGGGAGACTTTCATTTCGGATGAAAATGCATTGTCTACTTACTACTACTACTCATCTGCGTGCTCCCCTCAGCTCTGGTAGGCAAAATTTACAGTTAATTTGGAGTTTAACATGCGCTGATCGCCACAAGGATGCTGATATGGTTCAGGGGGAAAATGATAGTTGGGCACGATCCTTGGATCAATCTGAGGCCATGAAATGCTCCTATACATGTACCATTAAAACTTTTATTCAAGATTTACAAAGTGCTTCGAAATCAACCCTTCATAAATATGAGTAGTGCAATCAATTTTAACGGCAAAATAATTGTTAACAAATTGCGTTAACCCTATTTCGTGTAATGTGATGAGAGAAACAGTAGTTGAATTTTCCCACATTCATATGAATAGATCTCATTTCACCATTGAATTTCACATATACTTACTTTCCAAAAGGCCATCTCATCCAGACGCATGTGTGTATATATCTATATATATGCATGTATGTATGTAGTGATGCATGTATATATGTATATATGAATGTCAGGTATTATATATAAATATATGAAGACCAAGATGTTGTGGTCTCTGTTATGGTCGCAGTCTCCTTTCGATTTATAGTATTAGGTCGACCTCGTTGTCGCTCTTGGTCTTGTTGTCGAGGGGACCTAGTCCGAAGTCGTCTGCCGTAGTAGTTGTCATGATTCGCAGCATCTGACAGTGGACTTGGTACATTCTCAAACGTTTCGCCGGCATCGTAGTGGGCATCATCAGTCAGTGCTGCCAGTCTCAGCAACAAGCTACGAACTCGTCAAAGAGACAAGTCAAGTCGATCTCTCGACAAACGTTCTGGCGAAAACTCACTTCACTTGTCTCTTTGACGAGTTCGCAGGTTGGTGCGGAGAATGGTGAAACTGACTGATGGTGTCAACTACGATGCCGGCGAAACGTTTGAGAATGTACCAAGTCCACTGTCCGATGCTGGGAATCATGACAACTA